TTAATTAATGTTTTTGAGAAAAAAATGTAATTTTTTAACCAATAATTGTAAGAATCGGGTATTTATATTCGTTGTAGAGATACTTCACTCTAATAACACCGAATTTATGTTGCAATATATGTGTTTTATCAATGCTTATGATATGTGAATGCAATGTATGCACATGTAAGCTGATGAGCTGTCTTGCTGAGGAAGATAAATCCTGGATAGTTGGAGATAATAAAATATTTGACCGCTGTCGGGGAAGATAAATCCTGGACCACTGTTGAAGAGTATGTGTGTCTTCGAGCTTTTTTACAACCTTTGTGGGGAGAAGCTATACTGCTAGGGGAATCAGAAGTTTGGGTTGTATGCCAATCTACTGGGGATTCCTGTTTTGAGGAGAACTCTGTTGGGGAATATTGAAAACTCTGTGGGGAATTGAGAATGAGAATCTTCATTCTGCCAGGGGAATTTGTGCTGAGGAGCCAAGAACGATAATCTTTGATCTGTAGGGGATTAAAAACTCTGACAAACTTATGCTGAGAGTAAGGAAGGCTTTGGCAACTTCACTGGAGAATCAAAGATGAGGATCTTGATTTTGCTGGGGAGTAAAAACTCTGTGGGGAATAGCTGTACTGTTGGAGAGTAGCTATCCTGCTGGAGATTAAGCTCAGGACTCTGGGAAAAGCTTATTCCTATTTGGAAGAAGTTCAGGAGTTTAGGTTGTATGCCATTTTGAGAATGAGAATCTTCATTCTGTCAGGAATATCAAGAATTCAGGTTATACGCCACTTTGAGAAGGAGAATCTTCATTATGTCGGGAATATCAGGAATTTAGGTTATATGTCACTTTGAGAATGAGAATCTTCATTCTGTCGGGAATATCAGGAATTCAGGTTATACGCCACTTTGAGAATCTTCATTCTGTCGGGAATATCGGGAATTCAGGTTATATGCCACTTTGAGAATGAGAATCTTCATTCTGTCGGGAATATCAGGAATTCAGGTTATATGCCACTTTGAGGATGTGAATCTTCATTTTGTCGAGAATATCGGGAATTCAGGTTATATGCCACTTTGAGAATGAGAATCTTCATTCTGTCGGGAATATCAGGAATTCAGGTTATATGCCACTTTGAGAATGAGAATCTTCATTCTGTCGGGAATATCAGGAATTCAGGTTATATACCATTCTCAGAATGAGAATCTTCATTCTGTCGGGAATATCAGGAGCTTGGGTGTATGCCAATCTACTAGGGAAGCAAGAATGAGAATCTTCATTCAGGCGTTTGGGTCAGGAGGTTGGGAGTATACCAATCTTCTGAGGTTTTGAGTATGGGGATCTTTATTCTGTTAACGGTATCAGGAGGTTGGGAGTATACCAATCTTCTGAGGTTTTTAAGAATGGGGCTCTTTGGTTTTTTAGAAATAGAGTTTTAAGAGCTTCAGTTGTCTGTTATTCTGCTGGTGGGTCGTTTCTGCTGAGATTTAGGCACTCGTCTGTAATTCAACTAAGGAAACATCTATGCTGAGATTTAGGAACTTGTCCATAATTCAACTGAGGAAACAACTTTGTCGAGATTTAGGAACTTGTCCGTAATTTGACTGAAGAAAAGCTTTGCCGAGATTTAGGAACTTGTCCGTAATTCGACTGAAGAAAACATCCCTGTTGAGATTTAGGAACTTGTCCGTAATTCAACCGAGGAAACATCTATGCTGAGATTTAGGAACTTGTCCGTAATTCAATTGAGGAAAGAACTTTGTTGAGATTTAGGAACTTGTCCGTAATTCGACTGAAGAAAAGATTTGCCGAGATTTAGGAACTTGTCCGTAATTCGAATGAAGAAAACATCCCTGCTGAGATTTAGGAACTTGTCCGTAGTTCAACCGAGGAAACATCTATGCTGAGATTTAGGAACTTGTCCGTAATTCAACTGAAGTAAAAGCTTTGTCAATATTTAGGTACTTGTCCGTAATTCGATTTGAAGAAAAGCTTTGTCGAGATTTAGGAACTTGTCCATAATTCGACTTGAAGAAAAGCTTTGTCGAGATTTAGGAACTTGTCTGTAATTCGACTTAAGAAAACATCCCTGCTGAGATTTAGGAACTTGACCGTAATTCAACCGAGGAAACATCTATGTTGAGATTTAGGAACTTTCCCATGATTCAACTGAAGTAAAAGCTTTGTCTAGATTTAGGAACTTGTCCGTAATTCGACTGAAGAAAAGCTTTGTCGAGATTTAGGAACTTGTCCATAATTTGACTGAAGAAAAGCTTTGTCGAGATTTAGGAACTTGTCCGTAATTCGACTTGAAGAAAAGCTTTGTCGAGATTTAGGAACTTGTCCGTAATTCGACTGAAGAAAACATCCCTGCTGAGATTTAGGAACTTGTCCGTAATTCAACCAAGGAAACATCTATGCTGAGATTTAGGAACTTGTCCGTAATTCAACTGAAGTAAAAGCTTTGTCGAGATTTAGGAACTTGTCCTTAATTCGACTGAAGAAAAGCTTTGTCGAGATTTAGGAACTTGTCTGTAATTCGACTGAAGAAAACATCCCTGCTGAGATTTAGGAACTTGCCCGTAATTCAACTACGAAAACAGCTTTGTCGAGATTTAGGAACTTGTCTGTAATTCGACTGAAGAAAAGCTTTGTCGCTTGAATTTGTGAGAATCTTTCCTGAAAGGTAAAGGTTAGTTGTATGTAATGTATGACATGTATCAAGCGATGGCGTTCTCAAAATAAATGAGATTGTGTTGTATGATATCCGGATATACGGATGTGTAATGTTTTTTTCAAGAGAACCTCTCGCTGGGGAAAATAAATCCTGAAATGGTGATGGAGAAAAGAGTTGGATTCTTCGTCTTTGATAGTGAAAAATCTGGAAGGGAATCAAAATAAATCATTGAGAGATTTACCTGAAACAGCAAAACCCGGAATATCTTCCACTGGAATAAGAATCAGAGAGATCTTAGTGTCGATCTGACTGATCCAGAGAAGGTCTTGGATTAACTTTGACTCAACCGGATGATGAAGGAATCTTTGACGACCACAAATCCAAAAGGTGATGAAGGAATCTTAGATGATTACTCCAAAAGGTAATGATAACCTTTACCTGCCGATTAATCTGCATATGTTATGAATGTTGTTGAAATGTAATTTTGTTTTGGAGAATAAATCCTCGACAAGTGTTGGGGAAATAAATCCATGACTGCTGGTCTGCTAGAGACGTGATGAACTTCTCGAGGATTCTTGAATTTCTTTTCAGAAAGAATTTGGAGAGATTCGTCATTGCCCCTAGTATCAAATGTTTGTGGCACTGCCAGGAAATTTGGACTGTACGTAACTCTTTGATGAGATTGACGTTTAATGCCCCAAGTGATGGTGATGGTGACGGAGACTTGCCCCTGGTTACTCTGCAATTGAGATATTTCTTGAAATCTTGACTGGACTTCCCCAGGTTAACTGGACAATGCCATGCCAAGTCCCCTTTTGTTGATAGGAGATTTTTGCAATGGAAGTGTCAGTCCACTTGAAATGATTTTGTTCACTGAGAGAGCTTTCGTTCACCGGAACATTCATTGTGTGAATTTCTTCGCTGTCAAACAAATAGCCATATGCAAACGACGATATTCAAATAATGCAAAGTTTATGCTTGTCTTGATATTTTTGAAAAATGCGTTTTTTAGCAGAAAACTTTTATAAGACAAATTCAACACAAGGTTTAGAGCAAAGCCTTACAGGAGTCAGGATACCTTTTGTAACAGTATGCTTTCGAACTAACCCATGCTTCAATTAGGACTTTTGAAGGGTTTCAACGTGGCTTGGTTCACGGTTTAAGAAACAAAGGATAAAGGCTCAAAGTATATTTGTACCCACCCGCTCTTCGTAATGTTCTTCAATCCTAAACTTAGTATTGTGCATTCGAACTCGAAATGAGGCTGGAATGACGTTTTTGGTGATGGTTCATACAAGTTGAATTTGTTGGAAGACAATCATCATTTTTTTTTGCAACATTTTTCATGTCGTTGAGGATTTGTAACGACCTCTTTATTCTTTTTTGTTATCCCTAATTTTTGCCTGACTGTTCTTATTTTTTAAGATTATAGTCAGCGGGATGCCCCAGTTTTCTTAAGCCTCCTTGGTAGGTTTTGACTCAGTGGGCTTTTCTTTTTGAGAGGTAATGACTGCCTATGAGATAAAGAACCATCACTGTCTTTTGGTTCCAAAGGAATGCTTTGATGTCATTCGTTGTATTACGAACTGAGAGTTTGCGCACTTGAATTAACTGAGAGACTACCCTTCCCCAAGTTTGATTAAAATGTTTCAATTTGTGTTAAAATAGAAAACTTCTACTTCTTTGACTCGAAGGGGTTGACTAGGGATCATCTTCCTTATAACTCCAGTGTTTAGGATTTGAAAGAAACGTCTGTACATCGTCAGCAAGGTCTGTCCAAAAGCATACTGTATGAGATTATGGCATTGTTTTCGTCATCCTCCCTCTAAAGGCTTGTAACTTTTAGCAAGAGTTAAATGTCATAAAGAAAGTAGAAAGCATAATTCAAGAATAGTGAAAACGAATGGATGAATTCAAGAAAAACATATGCAATGCATTAATGAAACAGAGTTTGACATCAACAAATAATTGTTTGAATAACAAAAGAAATTACAACTTGAAAATTCAAATGAAACAAAAGCCTCTTAGTTCGAACTTGTCATTTCAGGTGGAGAACCCTCAGTGGAAGATTTTCATCTGGACATCCTGTGTGAATTCCAACACTCCTCTGTCAATCAAAGCCCAACAGTCGTCGGTGTCATGTCTAGGACTATAGGAGTGGTATGCACAAAATGCATTGGTATGATAGCCAGGAACAGAGGTATTGGGATTCCGAAGAGGATCCCTTAAAACAGTCAGATTGACCTCCAACAAGCGTTCCAGTACTTGAGATAATGGCATGTCAATCTCAGTGAAGCGCCTTCCAGATGTATTTTGCTTATTCCGATTACCCCATTAATGTTAGCGAGGTTGTTGTTGGGCTTGTGACCCTGAAGCACACTGGGGAGATTTTCCCTTGGCTTCTTGTCTCAAAGGAGGCTGAATGATGACTTGATTTTCAACCCTAGTTGTTTGCCCCACTTGGTTACATCCATCTTGAAGCAGTTTGTTGATGAGGACCTTTAGCTTCTCTTGTCCTTGAGCCAGGTTTTGAATGAGAGACATCTGGCCCACCAGTTGTCCCATCATCTGGATTTTCATCGTTGCCAACTCAATTTGTAGTCCTTCCAACTGATCATTTCTGATGCCCCCTGGATTCCCCAGGACCATGCCCCTTGTGAGGAGAGCTTTCACTTCTTCCTGCCCCTTGGACAGGTTCAAGAACATTTCTTGAAGTTGAGCATTTTGAGCCTGGATATCTTTGACAGTCCTCTCTAGAGCCATCTCTACTGAAATAAACAGTAGGAGAATAAGGAAACCTGAAAGGGGAAAACCTGTCATGATATAATGCATGATATGTGAATGTATGTTTTCAAGGATCTCGCGGGGTAAACACAAGAAAATGTTAGAGGTTGAACTTCGATCAACATCTTTGATTGGAGAACTTCGTATCGGTGGATGTATTTCCACGAGAATCAAGCTCACCATGTCAAGTGGGTCATAGTCCTCGATTCAAGTTGTTGTACTTGATCTCTCTAATATAGTCTCTCAAATAAAATCTTGAGGTTAGAGAATTGAACTACACCATAAATAATTGTAACTATTATATGTTTGCTTTTTTTCTATACATCAACATGCTTATATTAGTCAGTCACAGACACACAAGCATAAACCTTAATCTACAAGCAACTGGTACATACATAAACAAGCAAAACCACACAAAAAAAGTCTATGTAGCATCTTTCTGTTCTGACATCAAATTTACAAAACTCTTCATCAAGAAGAAATACCACAATGCCAATGGAACAGTATCATGAAATTGAGAATCATGCTCAGACCTTGATAACTAGAATAGGTTGCAGTGTGGGAGAAAAGGACATACAATAGCCTTTTCAAGCAACCAAATTCTGCTCTCCTTTTCATCTCAGTCTTCTAGCAATCCATGTCAGCCAGCCAAATGAATTACCTGGACTTTGGAAATGGCATAAAACAAACAAAAAGATATTTTTCATACCTCATTCCCTTGGCTTGTCATATTGTGAGTTGGTGATTTATTTCTATGACTGGGATGTGAGCAATTTTGGACCAATGTTCCTTCCTTTTATACCTTTCTTCTAACAATGGACAATCTGTAATGTACAGTCGCTGTAAAGAGGTAGGGAGGTTGTCTTCTGGCAATGACTCTAGTCTTGGACAGTCGCAAAAAAGAAGTGATTTCAGCGAGGAGGGAAAGGTTGTTTGTGGCAATGAGACGAGCCCTGGACAATGATTAAAGTAAAGGCTTTCTAGAGAAGAGAGGTGTCCAAGTATATTTCCTTCTAAGGAATTCATTTGAGAGAGATGAGTGACTTCTAGAGTCACAAGGGAAACAGGAAACAAGAGCTCCTTGAGCAACATGTTAACAATATCATCCCCTCCTATACCCATTCTTGAAACAGCAGTGAGGCCGTGGAGACCCCACTCGGTTACAGGCTTTGTTATTCTCACTGAAGAAACAACAATTGATTGTAATCGGGGAGGTAGCAAAGCTCCTTCACATAAGGATAAATTCAGATTTGGAAGATTGCAAAGAGATATCCTTTCAAGAGCGGTGAGGGCGTCCATCCATTGAGGTAGTGATCTAAGTGCCTCGCAATCACGGACATCAAAAGATTGGAGGGTTGACGAGCTACAAAAGAAGCTTTTGAAGTAAAAATAGATTCCAAACTCCTACATTCATATATGGAAAGATTTTGGAGCATAGGAAAACAATTCAATGGGAACGAGGTAACTGCACTGCAGCTACTCCATATTGATGTGTAATTGCCCGACGTTTCAGAAGATAGGAATGTTAGATTCTCACATTCTTTAATACGAAGTGATTGCAAAGAAGTGAGTAAACAATTGGTTGGAAACACAGTGAGAGAACTAATACTATAGAGATTCAATTTTCGAAGACAGGTGCTGTTAAAAATCATTTTAGGTACAAATTTTAGCATAAGACAACTACTTATCTCTATTTCTTGCAGCAGACACGGACAATCACTCTCGAGCAATGAGCATTGGATCCTTTCAGTATTGCTTGCTGAATTCGAGTCCCCCTTAATATAAATCTTTTTTATCGAGGAGAGCCACTGATGAGTAGGTGGTTTTGCCAAAAGATGATCACAACCATATATTTTAAGTTCTTCTATGGAAGGAAGTTGATTAGGCAGATGTCCTCTCAGTTCAGGACACATATATAATTCCAAAGTTTTAAGACGGAGAAAAGGGAACATGTCACCTTCAAAAGGACGCCATTCCTTCAAATTTGGCATGCACACAAATTGCAGTTTCTCAAGGGATTGAAATGGTTGGAATAAAAAATTGGAACCACCTCCTACCATTCCATAGAACTCCTGCCCAATTGTCTCCAAAATTGTCATTCTACCAATCAGCAAGTCCTTGAGAGAAGGTAGTTGCCCTAGTGGGGGAAGTGTGATGCAATTCACACAATTACCAATGCAGAGGGACACCATATTAGAAAATGAAGAATCTCCCAACCAACTTGGAAAACTTGTCCCACCATATGAATCAATGCTCAGCTTCTTCAGGTTTGGTGATGGTTTTAACTTATTAAGCACATCTTTCTCTATAAATGAGTCATCAGCTTCCTCCCTCCACTGTAGCTCTAACTCCTCAATATGTTCTTTTCTCTTCAAGTTGGTATCACTTGCCTCCGTCACATCAATGATATTTTGCAGGTTCATGATGCGTAATTTTCCCCGTAGCTTAGGAAACATCCCAAGCTCTCTCACACTTAAACCAATATTTTTCTTGCCTACAACAAAAAGAGTTAGTGTTTGAAGGTTTACTAGTTCAACAATTTGCTTCGGCATCTCTATTATGCTTGTCATGTCAAGATAAAGATGACGCAAATTAATTAACTTTCCAACATGTTCAGGCAATTCTGTGAGTTTAAAGCACCGAGATAAAATCAAGGTTTGCAAGTAGTAGAGGTTGCATATGGTGTCAGGCAAGCTTGTGATTTCAGTATTAGAGAGATCAATATAACGCAACTGCACTAAATTGCCAATTGTATCGGGTAGTGTGGTGATGTTTCTATATCTTGATAACGATAGCACACGCAACCTTCCAAATGTGGGTAGCAAATCTTCGACCACCTTTCTTGATAAAGAATATGAGTACCTTTTAGAGCCAATGGCTAGAAGGCTTCTCAAACATTTGAATTTGTAGACAGTCTTAAACTTCTTGGAAATGTCATAATTTTCTTGATTATATGACAAGTGGCGAACATTTTCATAGCACTCAGCGCCAAACTCAAGTCTATAACAACTTTTTCCAGATACAACTGTAGCTAAATCATTAACAAGGTCATGCAAGACATACGTTAGCCCACTAGAATCATCATGCAATTGTTGAATCAATGATCTGGATAGCAATTCAGCAAAACACTCATAACCTACTTCTTCCATGGTTTTTCCGTCTTGAGAATGATCAAGGAAACCTTCTGCCATCCACAACAAAACTAATTGCTCCCTATCAAGTGAATAGTCCTTGGGAAAAATAGAACAATAGGAAAAACATCGTTTTAATTGAGAGGAAAGATATTGATAACTTAGGAGCAATGCAGGCAAAATATTATCATTTGGTAAGTTCCATATGTCGCTGTTCAGAACTATAATCCACTCTTTAGTATTTACTTTCGAACGCAATAGTCCTCCAAGTGCTTTCGCAGCTATTGGCAATCCACCACACTTTCTTGCAATCTTCCTACCAATTGCTTCCAAGTTTTGGCATTTAGTTTCACAAAAGTCTCCACCTCCAAATGCATGTTTGGAGAGTAAAGACCAACTGTCTTCATCTGATAGGGGATCTAGTTTATGAATAGGAAATGTGTGTGCAACATCTGCGACTTTTTCTTGGCGTGTGGTGATGATCACTCTGCTTCCAGTTTTCCCATTAATCAAGGGAGTCACAAGTTCATCCCAATCATTATAATTATCATTCCATAAGTCATCCAACACAATGAAAAATCTCCTGTCCCTCAAATTTTTCTTTAACTCAACTCGAAGTAAATCAAGATTATTGGTTTCCCATTTTTTTGAAGTGACAGATTCAAGGAGAGTTTTGGTAACTCTAAGAATATCGAAATCCTCTGATACACAAGCCCATGCTTTGAGATCAAAGTGTTGTTGAACTTTTTCATCATTGTAAGCAAGTTGTGCAAGTGTTGTTTTTCCGACACCTCCCATGCCTAAAATCGCAACAACGCCTATCTTGTTCTGGCTAGTACTACTTTCAGATAGCAACATGTTCATTACTATCTCTCTGTCATCTTTCCTACCAACCATGACAGATTCATTGACCATAGAACTTGAAGGTGTTCTAAGAGAAACTCTAGCACTTTTAGTTTGCAAACCAAGGATATCTTTGTGCTGTGCAAAAAGTTGCAGACTTTCACACATAATCTTCATTTGTGAATTGATCTCTCCATAGATGTTTTTAAAAGGAGAAGAAAGGAAGTTCCACACCTGATTAGTTTTGTTTTCAGCTTGTGTCTGCTCCATCTTGCATCGAAGGGAATCATAGCTAATTTGGTTAAGCAAATCTTCAGCATCAAAGACAGCATCTTTTAAGCCATCAAGCCATTGTTTGACAGAAGGATTATTGATCTGCTTCTCTTCTGCATCATCCAACACAACCTGAAGAGTGAGCAGTGTTGTTTTTAAGTGTCTCAAGAGTGAGAGATCGAGCTTGGTGTTAGTGATGTAATCAAGAAACTCTTTTGAAGCAAGCTTCTCAACTAAGCTCTGAACAGTTGCAGACAGAAAAGCGCCTCCTACCGTAGTTGCAGCCATGTTGTATTAGCTACAAGAATAGAAACTCACAAAATTGATTTTAGTGTAACTATAAACTAGAAGCAAATATACCTCAATTTCTCAGGCTGAGGGATGCTTGAATACAGTCACAAAATTGTAAGACTAATAGCATTGACAATGTCAACTATGCATAACCATCTCACATTCAGAACATCAGCTTTGACAAAATCAAAACTCTGATTACTCTTAACGTGTGGTACCCCACTCTAGAGTCTAGAAGAAACATTTAAAATAGAATTTTACTTCTTTAATTTTTTATTTTTAATGCTCAGAGTCTTGGACAGATTTTTTAATAAAAATTTACACTATGTGTACTGATATTGTGTAAATTTTTTAAATTTATCAATCAATTCAAATCATTTAAAAAAATAAAAGAAATTCGTTATTAATAATTTGTATTGGATCTATCTTTGAAAATTTCAAAATCAGTAGACGAAGTGGTAATAACTACTAGAAACTCACGCACACAATAGTAAAGATTAAAGTTTGAATTTTAATGATAGCATTCAACTTAACAAATATCGATTTTTGTCCGCTGAGCTAAGATTTGTGGACTACAAAATCAAATTTTAATCATTAGATAAATATATTTTGGACTATCAAGAGTATTAACATTCCGGTATTAATAAATTTTGACTTTTATCATATATAATTTAAAATATAAATAATGATTTGTTCGGTGATATGGTAAAAAAAACCTTTTACAAATATATTTCATCAAAATAAACTCAAAATTATATATATACAAACTAGAAAGGGTAAATATAAATTTGACATCTCTTATTTGTTAGGGACACTAAAATTAGCTATTAGATTTTTGTTGTCACTTGTTTTACAATGATCAATTTTTTATGGAGTATTTCTTTATATAACAATCCTTGATATTACTAAATTTGAAGAAATAATTGTCTATTAAGAAACTTATTAAACAAAAATTTATATTAGGAACATATAATATAATTTCATATGAAAGAATTTATCTTTAGGGAATTTCTTGATTTTTTTTAAAATAACTACTTTTTTTATAAAAAAATCTAAATAATTATTTTTTCAAAATATTTACTAAAGTAATCATTTTTCAAATAAAAAAAATTCGCCACACAGAGGAGGTGCCACTGTGTGTGGCGCATGCATATAAAATAGAGAAGAGGCGGCACACTGCATGGTTTGTCCTCCTATGTAATGTCATGCTTTGTGGTGCATGCATGTATAATTAGAGAGGAGGCGTCATCTTGTGTGGCTTGACAGTTGTATATAATTTTCTATAAATGCAATCACTCATCTTCTTTGTTTTTTCACACCATTTCTCACATCACTCTTAGAAAATGTTTTTCACTCTCTTGTCTAGGTTTTCACTAATCAGAAGAGATGCGCATGTTATTTCTTCGGCGATAAAGTCTCCGATGAAGATCAAACTCTAGAACACGCAGACATTCGGCATTTTCAGAGACACTTGATTCGTTGGTTGGAAGGAGACATTCCTGAAGGTGAAAAGATCAGAAAAATTAAAAGACAAATTACGGTGAAGAACATAAATGGAGTAAGCCGGTCATGGAAAAAGGTGAGATGTGATGCTGATGTCATAATGATGATGCTTAGACCAGATGATATTGTGTTGATGGTTTTTATCTCTTAGATATTATGATGTGTTTAGTTGTTGTGTCTGCTTATCGTGTTGTTGTGTTGTTGTCCTGAATTTGTCGTGTTGTAATTTTTTGGGTCATTATCTGAAGGTTGTTGTAATCGAATGATAAATTGGTCACGAAATGAAAACCCGAATTTTATTTTGAAATTTCTTGCTTACAACAAATTAATTACTCCAGAAAATTTGCTATAAAAAAATTAGGATGCGGAGCTAGACCCAATATTCGGACAATTTTATCGATTGTGTCCTAGAAGACGACATGTACTGCATAATCTTATCATTTTGTTGGTTGTATCCATTTCAGTTCTAATATGAGTGCTATAGGGGCGCCCCTTTTTCTTCTGTCACATTTGTTTATTGTGCCAAACAATGTCCCCTTGATAAGCAGGCCAATAATCCTCATTTGTCAACACAGAGAAGGTACTGATGTACACACTTAAAACATTCTTTATTGTGTAAACGGGGGATATATATTGTATTGGGTCCAAGCGAGCATGCGAACATGCCGCTATGACATGAGAGCAAGGCATGTGAAATGCTTGAAACTTTCCACAAACACACCAACTTCTATCTAGTTCGACCCGATAATATCCCCTTAGCCTGCCCTAATTATGATCCATTATCTCTTGTACATTGAACCAACCTTTAATACGGTCAAACACAGTGATAATATGGGTGTTTGCTTTGGCAGCCTCCTTGTTAAATGATTCCATTGTGCATTCACTGAACAACTACCCTGATTGTAACATTGCTCTCCATTTTGAACTTCTTGTATCGAACAATGAACCCATCCTAAAATATGTTGCTCTAACCAAAGCAATAATTGGTAGGTTCCAGATGCCTTTGAAGATAGAGTTCAATGATTCCACCAAATTTGTTTTCATGTGGCCCCATCGGGGTGGTTATCCTCGTCAGATTCATCATCTTCTTCAAAATATTAAGAAGGATCTACCACCTGAGATTGATCAGGTTGTTGTAATAAAGCATACAGGTTAATCTCATTGAATTCGGATTGTTCATGAGTTTGAAACATGTTTCGAACGTCGTCATCGTCGTGCACCTTTAGTTGATAAAATCTGACTTGGTTATTATCAAATAGAAATGGAGACTTATAAAGAATTTGGTAAACTGGATCACACTGCAATTTTGCTTCTAGTCTATATTTGAAGTGTGCAAAACTTATTTTCTTGTTTGTCTAAAAGCGGATAAAATCGGTATTACAAAAATTAAAATCGAAGTTATCACAGTTGAACGTCTCACTGTTAATATGAGCAACAATACTATAATATTGTGAATGGTCCATATGTTGAGGTATGTTTTTTGTGAATTATGTATGTATACCAGTAATGCGCTCTAAACAGACGCTTAAATAGAATGATGAAAGTATGGGGTGTATACCACTAATGCACCATCTAAGATGGCTTCTCTGTTAACAATACAACACATGCGCCACCTAGGGTGGCTTATCCTCTAAATTTTGTAAGCATGCACCACCTAGGATGGCTTGTCACGTGAACGACAGGCTTGTATGCATGCCATCTAATCACTGCCACGCTGCAGCTTTGTATGCATGCAAAAAAGTAATAAGCCATGTTGAATGGAGCCTTAGTGCAAAAAACAAAAGGATACGCCACCTAGTGTGGCGCCTATGTGTTACTTGCATGTAGAAAACTCTCACGTGAATGCATAGTTTTCATCCATATTTTCTTATAAATACATATAACATTCACCCTATATGTTCACCACAATAATAACTCACATACTATTTCTTTCTTGAAACATCAACAAGAACACAAGAGTAACCAAGAAAAAATGACTCTCTTGACCATGGGTGATCAACATAGAGGAACTCTCAACAACATTAAAACTTTTGTAAGTTTATTTGGTTCAATACTTGTTAATACATAAATCTTATATTTCTTATACGCAATTCATGTTTTTAATAGGATGTTATAAGATTTTGTTGTCGTGTCCATGAGTATGTCTCTTACGATGTACAAATTGAACCATACTTACGACAAGCCGATTTTGGTTTGTTACTCAACATAGTCAATTACCATGTTGACTATATAATTATTCTCGCATTAGTGGAAAGATGGAGACCTGAAACTCACACCTTTCATCTTCCATGTGGTGAGTGTATCGTCACACTAGAGGACGTGTACATGTTATTTGGTCTACTGATCAATGGTAAGGCTATCAGTGGCCGAGTCAACCAAGACAACGCCATATGCGAGGAACTTTTGGGAGCATGTTTGTTTGAACAAGGGTCTAGAGGCCAGGGTATTAATCTCCGTCTTCTTAGAGAATATCATAGTAGTCTCGTAATAACCAAAAACTCTACCGAGCAAGAAAAAATTATGAAAACTCGGTGTTATATAATGATATTATTTGGTCACTTTCTATTTCCTGAAACAATAGGTAATACTGTTAATATCATGTATTTACCTTTGTTAAGATATTTTGATAAAATAAACACATATAGTTAGGACTCTACTGTTTTGGCCCATCTGTATAGTTCCATGTGTAAACATGCATCGAACGACAACTGTTCTTTCTATTTTTGTGCCTTTTTGCTCCAGACATGGTGTTGGTCGAGAATGTCGACACTCGTCCCCCGCAACACAAGGCCATTCGTCTTCCTCTTTGCTACAAAGTAAGATTACAAAAACACAAAATTTACATACTATATACTATAACTAACATGTATTAATTTATTACTCATTTTTTCTAGGTAGGTAGTCTGTTTCTGGGATGAATTACAATAAACCACCTAGAAATGCAATAGTAGTCTACTGAAATCTTATTGATCATGTTGGACCCAAAGAGGTATTAAGCTTACATATTTTGTACAACACTTTCAATAGGTTAATTAAGTATAATATTAATATTAGATTAACACTCTTTTTCCTCTACAGTTTGTATGAAGGTCGTATAAGGATCTCGACCATGATATTAACCCAGCAGATGTTGAAGTCTGGACTGCAAAAACATCGCTCATCAGGTTCACTATTGTGGAGATGCACCACAGTGACCATGTGAAGCTACAGTTCGGCATGCAACAGGGTATCCCAGACCCTCTAAATGTTTGGGACAATGGCATCTACTCAGAGTTGATGACCAATAGGGATTTTCTTATTTGAGAGACTTCGCTAGAAATCAATGTCGCCAATGGAGGCATCGACGTGAATTGGTCCTAAGGGAGCTGATCTCGCAAGATAACTTAAAATCAACTCTCCAATATTTGACATGGTACACATCGGTTTCAACAAATTTGTTTCTGTCTCATGAGATATATTTGATCGGCCCACGCCAAAGAGTTGCATCATACGCC